TATATTGATCTCATCTGAAAGGGAAGAAGAAGATTGAGGAGGTGAATATAATACAATAACATAAAATGAAGAAAACAAAATCAGATCAAGTACTAAAACGTTTCTTCTTATCCTCAACGGGTTTCATGTACGTGAAATCCCGATAACTTATCACACTATATGAGAATGAAACTAAAGTCACATTCATATATTTATCCTTATCAGTAAGAATGATGCATGAAATAGAGGGAAAACTAGCTTTCTTTTCAAAGTGGTATGGATTTCAGCATCTCTAGACATTGTTCGTGAAAGCGATCAGACACGAAGTAGAAGTCGAGAAATTACAAAATTTAGAGTGAGTAGCAGAGGAAATAGGAGTCACCAAGAAATGGTTGAACTTATTCTAGCTTATGGTGTAGACCTGGAAAATCTTGTCATGATTCTGGCAGAGAGAAACTAATTAGTGGTCAAACCTTTTCTTCGAAGAAGGTTTTACTGAATATATATGAAAGAAGAGATTTTCGAGACAGAACTCGTCTGCCAATTATATTCATAGAAATATTGGAACACTCTTACGGAAGCCCGATAAACTAGATGTAGTTGCAAAGGAGCAATTCAAAGGTGAACAACCACCTCATTTTCAAAAGCAGTTAGAGGGAGTATGGCACCTAATTTTTGAAATATGTAATCGTAGAAAGGGATAAAACATCCATCACACTATCTACACATGGTCCGCCTAGGGATAGTCATCCGCATCAACTGGCTTAGTCAAATCTTCAGGCCTAACTAAATCCATCTATTCATTGAAAAACTAGATAAATAAACCACTTTCATGCTCCGCCATCTTAGATAAAGTGAGATCCAAATCAAATTCGGCATGAGCAAGGGAGACGACCCCATCAACATAACATCCTCATCACCTGGAGAATCTAACCCTGGCCCAGAGCTACCACTATAGGTACATTTTATACAAGAATGGGAGAGTCCACCTTGTAGAAAATGTCCACGAGTTCTGGGTTTTCAACTCCCACAGACGATGATGACTCATCATTATCAAATCCAAGAGCATTGTTTACATGTACATTCCCCGGGTTAACCATAATGACACACATAGGAAGGATGATAGGATTCCTTGAGAAGATGTCGGGGATGGAGGAATGACCCACGTGTGAAGAGGAAACAAAAGGATTAAGGTGTACGAAAATACGAACAAGAGATTGAACTCATGAAGAGGAATTGGATTCTGAATGGTAAACGAAGCGAAATTGACATTCAGAAAGAAACCAACCTTTTATAATGAAATAACAAACAAACCACCGATCTATATCAGGAGTAGATGGGAAATATATAGGCTATGAATCAACCATTCCTTAGAAGTATTAATGGTTCAAACGTACTCGAGAACCCTAGGTAGGGAAACCATGCCTAAACTTGCAGACCTAGAGCCACGTGCTTGGAAGGAGTAACAAAATATCTAAATGATGGGAAAGCAATTAATTCATTTGTTCCCCGTTATTTTTGTAATTGTTCCATAACCTTTTTGCTTCTCACTATGGTCAGACATAATAACTAGAGTTCGACCGCAACATTGAAATACTTCTCGGTTAATATACGCCCGACAAGCCTTGGGGAAACTATTCTGGGCTGGCCAAAGGCCCAATCATATTCAAGCCCAATCAAGATTATCCAAAGTATATAGTCAGCACACGTGAGATTCAAATACATTTTTCACTATACTCATCTTCGACTCTATAACTGATTTGGACGTTTGCAGGTAGGGGTAGGAATAGGGTAGACCAACTAACAAGGACTTACGACCTAGCCTACACAGACCCAAACCAAGCCAAGTTTTTATTAAATAGAAATGGTGTACGATTTTTTTATAAGCCTATTTAGTTAAAAAGACTAGGCCTCAGGCCCTAAAAAACTTTTAAACCTATTAGACCAGCCTATTTAAATAAATACAAGTAATTTTATTTTTACTGTATTGTATATTGTACTTCAAATGAAAATTCAAAAAATTGACTTAGTTAGCTTGGAGAACTTATGAAAATAAGCTAAAAACACCTTATGAACAATGTCATAAGTTGTTCTCATAGGCTTTTCTAAACAAATAGTCTCACAAAACGTATGTTACTAGATAAGCTCAGATAAATAAATGAAACAAACTTTTAATATCATTGATCATTGTGTTTTTTAGTATATATAAACATTAATTTAATTACTTATTTGCATATATTAAATAAAATATGCTTTTAAGTAAGCTAACAAGCAAATTAGACATTCAAAAAGGTCAAATGCAAACTTAAAAATAAACCTCTGGCAAACTAAATGTCAGACTGGGCTTTAAAATTTTTAATAGTCTAAACTTAGGCTTTGTCAAAATCTAACTCGATCAAATCTATTTTCATCTATATTTGTAGATCCACCCACTCCAACTTATCAGATATTAATAAAATTGACTCCAAAGTCTTACGTCTTTAATCAATATCAATTCTAATTTCAATATAGAACAAAAGTCTTGGATTTATTTAGCCTATTGGCCCATTAATTTTAGTTTTAAAAGTTTGCTTACCTTCTTGTGTAAAAATTAAAATTTATTACTTTATTATATAATAAAATGCATTAATGAAAGAAAGAAATTCAAGACATTGTAAATATTTTTGTTATTTTGTTGATGGATTATTTTTAAGTATTTTAAAATAATTAAATATAAAATCTTAATAATATAATTGTTATAAAGATTAAATAAACTATTAAATTTTAATTATTGTAAAATTATCTATTAATTTTTTATACCATTTTAAAAATATATTTATTCTAATACATTATTATTCATATATAAAAATAAAAAATAATTATTTATTTAGAACCAATATTAGGCATGTCAACTAGACAGGTCTGAGACAAGTTTTACCTCCCCAAACTTAAACTTGAATTCCTAAACAATCCCCGTTCTCCATCTCAAATTTCAACAGAAATGGAGAATTAAAGTCCAAACTCATCCCAAACAGGTTCGGGTATTCCCTCCCCGCCACCAACCATTTAGTAAAATCAATTTTTTAAAATTGAAATATTTATTTTTTCAAAATCAAATTACATTACAAATAATAAAATAAAACAATCTCAAAAAATTTCATATACATTTCAAATATTTTAAATAACTAATACAATTTAAAATATCAAAACATTGGCTACATATTTAATATTTCAAATTATCATAACTAAATAATAATGTACATAATTAAATAAACGGAGCAAATTTAAGGTGGGTGCTAGTGTTCCCATTATTCGACTTGTCCTCATATTTTTTTATCGGGGAAAACCCAACCCAAACTCAATTATAGCGGATTCTCCCCATCACCTTCGAGTGGGTACCCGCGGGTACAGGTTATATTGTCATACCTAACCAATATAATTGAGTGTCAATTAGGTATGATAACGAAACAGGTCAAAGACAAATTTTACCTCCTTAAATCTAAACTCGAATGTTCCCTACATCGATCTCCAATGAGAATGAAGAATTAAAACTCAAATTCGTGTCAAATAAGTTCAGATTAGATTAGAATATCCCTGCACCACCATCTATTTATTAAAATCAATTATTTTAATAAAAATATTTATTTTTTCAAAACCATATTAAATTACAAATAATAAAATGAATTATCACTAGGGCTGGCAATGAACCAAACCAACTCGAAGATAGTTCGGAATTCGACTCGACAATTAAATCGATGAACTAGGTTCATGAACCAAATGAGTTGAGTATGAGCGAAAAATTAAGTTCGTTAACTAAATGAGCTGAACTTGAACTATACATAGTTCGACTCGTTAGGTTCATGAGTCAACTCGGTTACATATGAAAAGAATTATACTATCTTTAAGATTAGGTTTAAATATTTACTTCAAATCTTAGACAAATTTAATCTTCAATTTAGTAGTTTTGAATTAGACTCTCAAATGTGTCTCTTGAAAGTTGTGTAGGTTTTGAATTAGTAGATTTCAAAGATAAAGTTAAATTTCAATATGATAACTTTTATTTTATTTTAATATTTTATTTAAAAAATATATATTTATTTAAAATGTAAAATATACCAAAAATTATATATATTTAAAAAAATAGTTTTTAAGTTCGTGAACCATGTGAGATGAACCTAATGAGATGAACCTAACGAGTCGAACCGAACTGTTCGTGAACTTATAACGAGTCGAGTTTGAGCTTAAAAAAAAGTTCGTGTCAAACTCGAACTCGAACTCGAATTCGAACAATTCTTAATGAGTCGAGCCGAGCTGAGGTGAGTTCGACTCGACTCGACTCATTTCCAGCCCTAATTATCACAAAAAAATCATATATATATTTTAAATATTTTAAGTAATAAATATAAATTAGAATATTAAAATATTAATTAAATATTTAACATTTTAAATTATAAAAAATAAAAAATAAAATATATAATAAAATAACATATTTTGTAATCGACAAAAATTTTAATTTTAATTCAAACCCAATCAAAAATGTATTTTTTCTATTAAATTTAAGACGGATTAAGAAGAATATCACACTTTTGAGATAGGTTAAAGTTGAACATGTGTATATAGTTAAACATTACGCGTGGTATTTGTTTAATTCATTCAGAAGAAAAAAAACTCTTATTTTATTGAAAAAAAGGTGATGTACGAACAATATAATTTTTTTTATAATGTTAACTAATAACCAACCTGCATTCCATTAGATTATATTAAAAATTTTAAATTAATTATATAATATATTAAAATGATATATTTTTATTGGGTAAAAATGTAAAATATTTACACTTTCACTGAATAACAATTAACTCTATTTTATTTATTCATCAAAAAGATAATGGATGACTTCAAATCAATTTATCCCTACTTATGAGTATTTTGTTCTAAATCTTTTATAGTTATCTTTTTCCTATTTATAAACTCCACCTAATCATATCTCTCGCCTTCTATATTCTCCCCCATTCAAATTACTCTCAGTTCTCTCACAACTCTCCATGGCCCCAAACAACCCCCTCCTCGCCGCCACCGGCGAATGTCTCATCGTCAGTTTCGGCGAGATGCTCATCGACTTTGTCCCCACCGCCTCCGGCGTCTCCCTTGCCGAGGCTCCCGGTTTCCTCAAAGCCCCCGGAGGCGCACCAGCTAACGTCGCGATCGCCGTCTCCAGACTCGGCGGTAAATCCGCCTTCGTCGGAAAACTAGGCGATGACGAATTCGGTCACATGCTCGCCGGGATCTTGAAGGAGAACAACGTCAGAGCCGACGGCATAAACTTCGATAAAGGCGCTCGCACTGCACTCGCTTTCGTCACCCTACGCGCCGACGGAGAACGCGAGTTCATGTTCTACAGAAACCCTAGCGCCGATATGCTTCTCACACCAGAAGATCTCAATCTTGAACTCATTAGATCTGTACGCAAATATTTTCTCTCAAATTTCTCTCCAATTTCAACTTGATTTTCTTCTTTGGTTTCCGGAAAATTTGGTAGTGTAGTTATGATTCTATTTCACACGCGTTGTTAATTGGATACTGCTGACTCAGCTTCTTTGTGGTGGGTCCCTCAATGGATCTAGGATAAACCAATATAATGTAGAGGAGTAATGGTAGTAGTTTTTATTAATACGCGTGATGCTCACGCTCTAGGCGAAGAATGGGATTGCATATTGGTTGAAGTGGAAGTATTATTGTGTGCAGTCATTAACTGACCTTAGGCGTTTTTATCGATTTTTTAGAAAAGAAAATAATTTTTATATTTTGTTGCGGACAGAAAGAATCAAACCATAATACAAATTTAAAATTTATTCTAATTAAACCGAATAATTTTAATTTATTAACTAAATATAATGATTAGGGTAGGTTATTTTAACATCTGATCGGCGGGGGTTCGATTCAGTTCAAGATGTTTTTTTAACAACCCTGATGGCAAGGAGTAATATTTGAGTTATGAAATTAAACTTGAATTTTCAGGCAAAAGTATTCCATTATGGATCAATAAGTTTGATCGTTGAGCCATGCAGATCAGCACATCTGAAAGCAATGGAAGTTGCCAAAGAAGCAGGGTGCTTACTCTCGTACGACCCAAACCTCCGGCTACCATTGTGGCCCTCACCGGAGGAAGCCCGTAAGCAAATACTCAGCATATGGGACCAGGCTGATCTCATCAAGGTCAGTGATGTGGAGCTAGAATTTTTAACAGGAAGTGATAAAATTGATGATGCTTCTGCTCTCTCTTTGTGGCACCCCAATTTGAAGTTGCTTCTTGTAACTCTCGGTGAAAATGGTTCCAGATACTATACCAAGGTAAAAAACCTAATCTTTAAGTTACTCTGATTATAGCATTTGTAACAATTTTTTCCCTTTATTGTGTAAATCAGAATTTCAAGGGATCGGTAGATGCTTTCCATGTTAACACTGTTGATACAACTGGAGCTGGCGATGCATTTGTTGGAGCTCTCTTGGGAAAGATTGTAGATGATCAATCTATACTTGAAGATGAAGCAAGGTTAAGGGAAGTGCTTAAATTTGCAAATGCATGTGGAGCAATTACAACTACTAAAAAAGGAGCAATTCCAGCTCTTCCCACAGAAGCTGATGTCCTCAGCCTGATTAATAAGGCATAGAAATTTAGTACAATTGTCATTTTTTTTATTTGTTTTTTTTTATATATATATTTTTTTCACCTTTGCATTCTTCTGCTGGAGTTGCTTCCTATCAATTTAAGATGGTTTTTATCTCCTGATTTAGTTTTGTTATTTTTATGTTTAAATTTTTATTTCCTTCCTGCATCAAAATTTGAGTCCATTGTGATGATTTTGTGTTTAAATCCTTTCTGAAATTGAATCAACCAGATTTTTGGGTCATTGAAGCAATAAATAGTGGCACATCTATGTCTGATTGATATAACTGAATAATTTAGTCTAATTTCTAAAACATTTGCGGAGAGTTTGTCCAGTCATGCTTGTGATTGTGATACTACATTTTTCATGAAATAAACCCGAGACTGCATATGACCGGGTGTGGATGGCTTAATTATAGCAGTTAACTTTAATCATGTTATTGGCTCGTGATGTATAACAATAAGAGAATATCTATTCTCACACCTACTAAATTATGAAATTGGAGTGTGTTTGAGGCATCCGGATTCTAGAATTTAAAATTATTGAATTCATGAACAAATACAATGCACATAAACGTTTTATTAAATATGATGAAAATCAACATGATACAACAAAATCATAGTTCAGACAAACTAGTTATGAATCTTTGAAAATTGTTGAATTTGCCTCATAAGTAATGTTGAGTGGGCATGGGGCGAGACCGAGTGGTCAAGACCCTTGCCCCAAGTGTTTGTTGGGGGTGACTGAGGTGTGTGGGCGGCTACGTCTCATGCAGTACGGTTTATGATTGCCCCAAGTGTTTGTTGGGGGTGACTGAGGTGTGCGGGCGGCTACGTCTCATGCAGTACGGTTTATGATTATTATTGTAATTTGAATCACTAGAATCCCTATATATGTTTATAACCATGGTAGTCAAAATCATCCTACTCGTAGAATCATACAATTTTAAAACCTTGCAACTCCCCACCATGCTAGAGAATCGATTTTTAGTAGGTGCATCCAAAATCACCGTGATATCACGTGAAAACGGTAGAATCGTCGTTTCTGTTGAAAAATATCGTTTTTGTTTAAAGCCCCATAAATTCGGGTTTACGGGTTGTTTTGGAAAGACCCTAAAAAAACATTTATTTTTTTATTAAAATATGAAACAATTCTTTTCTCCTAGACGGTAAAACAGTTTCGGCATAATAATTAGGATAATAACTAGGAATAATCAATATCTAGACACCCAATAATTAAGGATTTATTCCACTTTCCAAAATACATCATGATTGATGTAACTTTTCAAAATACATCATGATTAATGTAACTTTCCAAAATACACTTATTCATTTTAATTCTGTCACGATAAACTCTCTCACGTTAAATAGAGTCATTATCTCACTCAATATTTCATTCTTCATCTTCTCTCTCACGTTAATAACCTTTCCTTCTCTATTAAAAACAATTTAAAGTTTCTCCAATGGCTTCAAGTTATGCTATTGGAACTTTACTTGTTGGTGCTCTCACTACTCACCCTGCAATTGCACCACCACCACTGCCAGAAAAAACTACCAAAAAATGCTCATGATAATTAAACTGATATAGCATGGAAACATGACATTGCTGATCCTGATAATCCAATAAAAATTCAATGCAAGTATTGTAAAAAAAAAAGGTAAATGAAGGTGCCTACAGGCTAAAGCATTACTTGGCTGGTACTCAAAAAGATGTTGAAGCATGTAAGGCTGTTCCAGATGAAATCAAGAGAGAAATACTGCAAGTTTCTTCAAGATTGCAAGAAAGTTTGATAAAAAAACAGAGACAATGATGGAGGAAGAAAAGTCAAAAGTGTGTTAAAAACGAATGACCCGTAACAACTCGGAAACATATTTAGGAAAAGGTGTTTCAACTCACAACCTAGCATCAATGCAGTTCTAATGAATGGTTTAAGAGATGATGCATGTCAAGTAATTGCTAGTTTTTTTTTTTTTACAATAATGCCATACCATTCAATGTAGTAAGGTGTGAGGAGTTCACTATCATGTGTGATATGATTTCAAGACATGGTAATGAATTCAAACCACCATCTTATCATGACTTGAGAACTAAGTTGTTAAACCAAGAAGTGAAATTGACACATGAAGGTTTGGAAGAACATATAAAGGAATGAAGGAACATTGGTTGCACTATAATGACCGATGGATGGAGTGATCAGAAGAGGAGGACAATTTTGAATTTTTTGATTAATAGTCTAAAGGTTATTGTATTTTTGAAGTCTGTTGACACATCCAACATATGCAAAACAACCAAAAAAATATTTGAAATGATTGATGCTGATGTTGAAGAGGTTGGAGAAGATATTGTCGTTCAGGTCGTGATAGATAATGCAACAAATTACAAGACTACCAGGGAGATGTTGATGCGAAAGAGGAACAAATTATATTGGACACCTTGTGCCGCACACTGTCTTGATTTGATGCTTGAAGATTTGGAGAATAAGATATCAGTTCATGAAGAGACAATTCCAAAGTGTAAAAAAATTACAACTTTTATTTATTCAAGAACTTCTCTCATTTCTATTTTGCATCATCATAAAAAAAAAGATAGAGATTTGGTGAGGCCAGACGCTACTCGATTTTCCACATCTTACCTTATTTTAAGGTGTTTGTATGAGAACAAAGAAGCTTTGATAAGAATATTCACTTCCAAAGAATGGAAGTCTAGCAAATGTGCAGAGTTAAGAGACGGGAAAGTCATTGAAGATGTGGTTTTGGACACACAAAAAAAGAAGAATATTGTTATTTGTTTGAGGGGTGCTACACCCCTCATTAAAATGCTTCGTTTAGTTAATTCATATTAAAAACCAGTCATGTGATTAATCTATGAGGCAATGGAACAAGAAAAGGAGGAAATTCAAAGTAATTTTAACGGTGTAAAAAATGTATCTTTGTTTTATTTAATTTTATTGAATTATTTGTGTCTGTTCTTGATATCAAATGTTAAAAATAAATCAAATTAATATAATTTGTAGTTACAAGCCTATTTGGAATATCATTGCTGATAAAAGGGACAAAATGATACATAGGCTACTACATGTTGCATCCTATTATCTCAACCCACAAATGCATTACAGTCCTACATTCAAAGCTGATATTGTGGCTAGAAAAGATTTAATGAAGTGTTTAACTAAAATGGTGGATGATCCTGAAGAACAAGCTAAGATTGAAGTCTAAATGCATGACTTCAAGAAACAATTAGGACATTTTGGCACACAATTGGCCAAACTAACACTTGAAAAATCTACTTCGGCAGATTGGTGGGATTCAATTGGGTTTGAGTGTCCAGAGCTCCAAAGATTTGCTATCTGCATACTCAGCTTGACATGTAGTTCATCGGGTTGTGAGAGAAACTGGAGTGCTTTTGAGATGGTAAGACTTTAAGAATTTATAATTAGTTATAAAAGGCTTTCATTTTGCTTATCTTAATTTATTTTCATTTACTGTAATTAAGGTCCATACAAAAAGAATGAACCGCTTGAAACAAAAAATTATGAATGATGTTGTATTATTCATGGCTAATTCAAGACTGTCTATAAAATAAAGGGAAAAGAAAATTTGAGATATAGTTTGATGACCTTGGATCTGATGATAATTGTCTTATGGACGAAGATGATGACATTGAAATTTCAGATAAAGTCTCTCTTCAAATGAATCAAGAACATATTCAAGAGGATGATATTTTTGTTCATGATTTGGGAGATGAACATAATGGAGGGAGAGATGAAAATGAATTTGGGGATGACTTTGAAGATGAAAATGAAGATGAGTGAGATAATGGAGAAGAAAATGATGATTCATTGAGTGATTATGACCAACTCCAACATGATTTTTTTGGAAATTGAGTGAATTTTCATTAAGTTTTTTTAGAAGTTTTCAGTTGTTATTTGCTACTGTTTTGAATGTTGTGTTGTTTTGAACTATTTCGAGTTAGTTTCAATGAATATTATTCTATAAAATTTCAGTTTTTTAAAAGTAATTTTAGTGTTATTTTAATTTTTTTATATTATGTTGTGTCATATGCATATTATTAATCTATATGCAAAATATACATGAATTTTAAATTTCGTAGGATATTATGATCCATGTTACGATCCTCCGATTCACGATCTAATTACCCCAACCTGATTTTGCGTAGGATCACGAGTTTGACTATCTTTCTTGTAAAATTGAAACCCTAATTTGGGTAATTCAAAATAAATCAATAAGACGAGACTATAACTGCTATATAGTTATAGACGTAGGCAATTTGGACAAACTACATGAACAAAGCTTTTGCGCATTTCTCTATACTCTGATATGTATTCGCGTTCCTGGTTAAAAAATTCGAAGTGACTCGGTTCAATGGAACGCGCAATTTCAGTTTATGTAAAAGAAGGGTTAAGGATATGTTATCTCAACAAGGTTTACTGAAGGCGTTTCGTGATGAGAAAATGACGAGCATCGCAACCATTGATTGGAATGAGATGAATGAGAAGGCCACTTGTTTGATAAGACTTTACGTTTCTTATGACGTGGTGAATCATATCTTAGACCTCATAACTCCAAAGATTGTATGGGATAAATTGGAAAGTCAATACATGTCCAAGACAATCATGAACAAATTATTCACAAAGCAGCGTATCTATAGCCTGAAGATGTAGGAAGGAGGCGATTTGCAAGCTCATGTCAACACTTTTAACAACATCCTAGTTGATTTGACACAACTTGGTGTTAATGTTGATGATGAGGATAAAACCATTATTTTTTTGTGCTCTTTACCAAGCTCTTATGATCACTTAGTGACCACTCTCACATACAGGAAGGAAACATCACATTGGATTATATTTCTTATACTATTTTGCAGCACGCTCAACGTTACCAAAGTGTAAAGGAAGGTGAAGGAATTTTGAGTGAAGGTTTGTTTGCAAATGGAGGTCAAGGTTGTGGAAAAGGCAGGGGTAAGGTAGTGGGTTATAGAAAAAA